ACTCTTGTATCTCCCTCCAGGGTCTGATATATAGTAGGTATTAAAAAAAAAAAAAGTGGTGACTAAATGATATGATGCCGTCTTTATAAAATAATGAAATAATGACCAAAAGATACTTTGTGTTTGCATACATATACAAGTAAATATTTCCATTTATGTAAAATTATACTCATGTATACACACATATATATGGGTATATATTATATATGTAAGTACATATGTTTCTAAATACAAACACACATTAATGCAAGGGGAAAAGTTATAGCTACAGACCTGTGGCATGCCCCATAATAAACTATTACCTGTGTTAAGGACATGGTTTCTGAAGCCAGCCCACCTGGTTTCAACTGGTAGTTCTCCACTTAGTAGCTATGGTACTAGCAAATTACTTGATCTTTTTGGTGCCTGAATTTTCTCCCTGTTAGGCAGAAATAATAGTGCCTATTTCACAAGCTTCTTGTGAGGATTAAATGTGTTAGAAGAGGGCCTGGAACAAAGTAAGTGCTATACAAGTTTTTACTATTATGTTTAAGTAATGAAACAACTGCAAAGTAATTTGAACAATGTATTATTGGATACCTTAGGGCAGCCCTTCTCAACCTTGTCACTATTGACATTTTGGATTTTTTTTTAAGCTGTTATTTGAGAGAGAGAGAGAGAGAGAGGCAGCGAGAGAGGGAACACAAGCAGGGGGAGGGGGAGAGGGAGAAGCAGGCTTCCCGCTGAGCAGGGAGCCCTATGCGGGGCTCGATCCTGGGATCCTGGGATCATGACCTGAGCCGAAGGCAGTCGCTTAACCAACTGAGCTACCCAGGAGCCCCTGGACCAGAAAATTCTTTACTGTGGGCACTGTCCTATGCATAGTAGGAGGTTTAGCAGCATCTCTGGCCACACCCACTAGATACCATAGGATCCCCATGTCCAATTGTGACAAAGCAATCCTAGGAGACAAAAATCACCCTCAGTTGAGAACCACTGCTTTAGTGGGAAGGACATGGGCAGAGGAGAGTGTGTTGGTTTTTCCCTTTATACAATCTTTTAAAAGTTACACTTGTGAAAGCATGTACTACGCTTGTAATTTTAAAACCATCAAATCAAGATTTCAAAAAAAGGAAAATAATCACTAAAAAATGACTAATCAATGGTTTTAAACCAGCAGAATAAAAGGGAATATAGAAAATGTAATCAAAAGACGTGAGGAGAGAGGAAATAATCAAAGGAAAAGGTTGATGAGCAAAAAGCATAAGGTGGAGGAAATATGTTCAAATGTATCAGTGATCACAATATAAATGGATTCAACTCACCTATAAAAGAGATAGTATCAAACGGGATTAAAGAAAATAAAGTCCAGCTATATGCTGCTTACAAAAGAAACCCTAAAACAAAACAGAGAAGTTAAATATAAAGGGATTTTAAAAAGCAAGTTAAGCAGTCACTAAAAGAAAGCTAGTGAAACAGTATTAGCATTCAAAATAGGATTTAAGGCAATTCATAAAGATAAGAAATTCCATGTACCTGATAATATGTTTAGAAAAACCATTAGAATTATAAGAAAGAAATCTGACAAAACCAGTTATAGTGGGAGATTTTAAAACCCTCAGTCTCAAACTGATAGATCAAGCAGACCAAACATTAGTATGCACACACACACACAGACATGCATATGGATACATATAAATGGAGAGGTGATGGCAGGATAAAGACTGCAAATGACAAAGCAAAAAGTGCAAAATGTAAATAATTGGTACATCTGGATAAAGAATATGGAAAAAATTTTTTAAAACTACCAAGTTACCAGATAAAAAAACCCACACCCAAACAAGTACGTTGAAAATAAATTCACTGCAAGAAAATGGAAAAAGATCAGAAAATCTAAGCAAAGCAGGTAAGAGGAAATTTTAAAAGCAGAATTTAGTGACACATAAAGCTAAAGAAAAAAAAAGGCAAAAACAAAACAGTAGAGGTCAATAAAACCAAAATATGGTTCTCTAAAACAACTAAAATATAAATTAAAACACATACACAAACCTCTAGCAAGATTGTTCAAGGAGTAAACAAAATACAAATGAAAAATATTAACAATGAAATGGAATGACTACTAAAGACAATAGAGATTTTGGAACATAAGAATAACTTGAACAACTTTATAACAATAAACTGGAAAATCTACATCAAATGGTAAATTTTAAGACAAATTAATATTTACTAAAATTTGGGGTGCCTGGGTGGCTCAGTTGGTTAAGTGTCTAACTCTTGACTTCACCTCAGGTCATGATCTCAAGGTCATGAGATCCGAGCCCCACGTCTGGCTCTGCGCTCAGTAAGGAGTCTGCTTGAGATTCTCTCCCTCAGCCTCTCCCCCTGCTCGGGTGCTCCAATTCTCTCTTTAATAAAATCCTTAAAAAAAATTTACCAAAATTTAAGAAAGGACTATCCAAATAAACCAAGAACTTTTAACACATTGAAATAGTATTCAAAATATTCCCCTCAAAAAAGGCAACAGATTCAAAGGTTGTAACACCCTTTAAAACAACACTTCAGGAACAAATAATCCCCACTCACTACAAAAACTTCAAAGAATAAAAAAAGTAAGCTACTCAATTTTAGGTGTATAATATTGGTGCTAATATCAAACACTAAATACATTAGCTAATCACTTAGCAGTGCATTTTAAAAGAATTACATACTGGCATCAAGGAGTATATTCTGGAATATGTGGGTGATTCAACAAAAAAATTGATTAATGTAATTTAAAACATTTGTAAGGAAAGAAAAGACACCTGTTATCCTACTGGATGTAGGGAAAAAAACTTACAGTAAGAATTCATAGCTATTCATGATATAGATTCCTAGCAAACTAGGAATAGAGAAAAGTACTGCTAACCTGAAAAAGCTACTACCAAAGATTTACAGCAAATATAGTATTTAATGATGAAACTTTAAAGTCATTTGCATTAAAGTCAGAAAAATGATGACGATGCTTACCATCACCCACATTATTCAAGACTGTTCTGGAGATCTCAGCCAATGCACTAAGATAAATAAGGAGAAGAAAAGAAAATTGGGGAGAAAAAACCCCACAAAACTGTCATTCACAGAAGATATGGCTGCACAGAAAACATCCCAGAAAATCTACAAACTATGGGAACTATTAGATTACTTGCTAGATAGAAGGACAACATACAACAACGAGAAATAACCAGTTAGGAAAATACAATTTTTTTTTAAAAAAGCTATCCCTTACAATGGCAAAAAAAAAAATGACCAGGAGCCTAAGATATATAAATATGTATAAGCATTATAAAATGTTAAAGACCTAAAAAAAAAAAAAAGACCTAAAGAAAAATTGGAAATCATAGATGTGGATGGGAAGATTCAAAACTCTAAAGATGTCAACTACCTCTAATCTAAAATTTAACAATTTCTATCAAAATTGCAATTTCAAAGAACAGGACAAAGTGATCCTAAAATTTTTACAAATGAATAAATTGCCAAGAATAGATGTGGTTGAAAGCAAAGAATAAGGTGGAATGACTTATCCTACTTATTATAAAGCTATGATAATTAAGACAGTTTGCTATTAATGCAAAGATAGACAAACAGACCAAAGGAACTGAATTGAGATCCATAAATTAGTCCTACATGTATAGAACAATCTGACAAAGTTTGAACAAAGTATGACAAAGGTTTCATTATAAGGATGAACTCGTCAATATCTTATGTTACGACAATAGGAAATCCCGGGGGGGGGGTGCTAATCTCTACTTCACTTACAACTAAATTCCAAATGGAACAAAGAGTTGATAATTTTTTTTTTTAACTTTTAAAGGAAAGTATAAGAAAATAACTTATTTCAAAAAGTACAAATCTTAAGGAAATTAAATTTGGGTACATTAGAATTCTAAAGTCTGAACCACTAAAGAGATCAAAAACAAAGTGAAGACAAGCCAGACTAAGAAGATATGTGAAATCCATTTACTCAAGAAAGCATTAGAATTCAGAATATATAAAAAATTCTATAACTTTTTTTAAAGTGCAAAAAAAAAAAAAGGAAAACAAAACCCAACACCCAACAGAAAAAAGGTACAAAGCACATGAATAGTTCACAGACAAAATGGCTAATAAATCAATGTAAAAGTAGCTGAACCTTATCAGTCACAAAGGAAATTCAACTTTAAACTTCAGTAAGTTTAGAAACAAAAACACAAACTCTCAGACACTACAGGAAGGAGATAAATCAGTACAACCACTGACAATAGAAAGTTGATATCTAGTAAAGCTGAAGATGAGCAAACCCCATGACCCAGCTTTTCTATTTCTAGATATATTGCCTAAAGTAGCATTTTTCAATCTGATTGATGGTCTCAATCCTTTAAGGGTTATAAAATCAACAATCTTTAAAATAAAACAGAACAAAAAACATCAGAGTATGTAACACATAAGGCTAATATATAACAAAACTAGGTATTACTTACTAAAACTGTGTTAAGGTATGTATATATATATGTATGCATGAATGTACATACGTACTGGGAGATTATATATAATATAATTGATATTATGGAGTCTTAAAGGGACCACCCTAGAAAAATGTTCCCATACATACACAAGGATTTTCACTATTAGAACAGTTTATAATAGCAAAAAAATTGGAAAAAATCTGAATCTTGTTCATTAGGAAAATGGATAAAACTGTGGTATATTCATACTATGGAATAATGTGCACCTACCAAAATGAATGAACTAGACTAAATGTATCAGCATGGATAAGTGTTAAGAACATGATGCCAACTGAAAAGAAGTTGAAAAAGAATACATACGGTTCACTGACACCTCTGTAAAGTGAAAAAAAAAAAAAACCCTTAAAACTATATACCATATAATACTAGTAACAATACATATCATGTTCAGATTAGTTGTTACTTGATGGGTGGGAAGAGTAAAAAGGGAGCTTCAACCATATTTGGAACATTTATTTTTCAAAAATCTTTGAAACCAACCTGTGGCAATGACTTATCTCCATCAGCATGCATTTTTAATTTCATCAATGCTACCTTTGCAGCTGTTTCACTATTTTTTGCACCTTTACGTCGTTTACTTGCTGTCTCTCTGGTCTTAGAATCTAAGAAATAAGTATAAGCATATAATCACATAGAATTTTTACATTACATTTTCCAGAGTTCTATTACTATTTATTAGTTATGGCCTTGAAATGTACACAAATTACACACCATGGAGCTATATAGAGACCACATTCATTTTTGCTGGTATTATATTTATATGACCATTATAAAAATACCATTGAGGTTGATGATCTAAGCCATCTCCATATCAAAAATTCACTGTTATGTGCTTTCTAATTTAAGCCTATTTAATCCAAAACAATCACTAACACTTCTGCAGAAAACTTTAAGAGTTGGTTACAGAAAATTTTAAATAAAGGTACTATCCTTAATACAGAATGAAAATTCTGAACATATTGGCAAAGAGACTGGTCTAAGTCACAGATACATTCTTCCTGGCAGCTCAGATTATCAGCAGCATTCGCAGGACAGCTGATGAGACTTAAGATTAGTATTTAGGGGTGCCTGGGTGGCTCAGTTGGTTAAGCGACTGCCTTCGGCTCAGGTCATGATCCTGGAGTCCCGGGATCGAGTCCCACATCGGGCTCCCTGCTCAGCGGGGAGTCTGCTTCTCCCTCTGGCCCTCCCCCCTCTCGTGTGCTCTCTCTCTCATTCTCTCTCTCAAATAAATAAAATCTTAAAAAAAAAATTAGTATTTAAAGAAAGCAAACCACTACATTGGCTTTATGAATACCATGTCTAGCCATGATAGTTAACCAGGTGATCTGGCCCAGTAAAAGAACATCTGGTAGGGTACTTCCATAGAATTTCCAATTTTTCACTGGTCAGGTAGGCCTTGTGAGAAATACGGTCACAAAAATGTCATCAAGATCTATACCAAGTTACAAACATTGAGGCCATGAAAAACACCTTCCATAACGTGCAAGCTGAAATAAGAAGCAGGACTCCGTAACTAACAGATATACAGCAGTAAGGAAACAACAAAACAAGCTTTCTAGATACTTGCCAATAATGTCTTTAACAAGTTTCTGAGTGGCAGCCATACGAGGCTTAGGAATTTCCAGTTTTTCACATTCATGATCCGACTGATGACGGTGCCTATGAGCAACAGAAGAGTGACACTAGTTCATGTATTTGCATAGGACTTACACAGATACACAGAATTTGAATGGTCTCAGTGATCACCTCAGGCAAAAATTCTTCTCACAATAAGGACATTTAACTGGCACAAGCTCTCTTTCAGCACAGTCCTTGAATGAGCATGGGTAAGAGGTAGGCTTATCTGACTTCAGGCTCTCATTGATTACAGTCACCTGAAAATGTACAAAGAGGGAAATGGCATTATATCTTTCACATTTAAAGAAAATCAACATCTATTTTGGAAGGCAACATTCATACCATTTTTGCTTAAACTTGTCAGAACAACCTACATACTCTCACATAACAGATTATAATAAGTGTGTAAGAAATGATTACTCTGCTGACTGTTCTACATTTTCATAACTTTCTTCCTGTGGTATATTTATCTTCTAAGTCAAGTTAAAATTACTATTCAGTTACTCTTCATAATTTTAGTCTTCTATTCTGTATCAGTCCTAAACAAAGATGCCCACATAATAATATGCTTAGGTGATCATTTCATCAACCCTCAAATGGCAAGTCATAACTACTTTCTATGCTGATTTTAGCAAGTTAAAATATATATATATTTGAGAGAACTTAGAAGTATGTTTATCCATGATATAGAAGGTTAAAGATGGTTTTTACAACGATACATTCTCTATTCTGCATTTATTCTTATATTGAGGAAGAGATTTTACAAGATTAAAAAAAAAATCCAAGTCAGGCTAGTTTGAGTTTTAAGTAACTAGGTTTCTAGAGTTGAATGTATTTAGTGAAATAATTTCTTAAAAATCTACAACTAAAGGGCATTCCTCTATATATATGGTAGTTATATCCTGTTGGAATTGACTATTTTTCCAGATTTGGTCTAATGGTAAAATTGTTTTCATTTCATTATTTAAGGAGATCTAATTGACATTCTATGAGACATTCATAGAACTCAAATGATATCATAAGAAAAAGGAAAGCACAGAGAAGATTTACAAGCTGTAGAACATTAATATGTTTACTATATGACTATTTCTCTCCAATTAATCCTGCATAATACCAAAATATTAATTCTTATTTTCCTCACATAAATCACCTAAACCTTAAAGGACCAGATTTAGACTGAGGTTCATTTAACCTTAATTTTCTACAGTTGAGAAAACAGATATAAAAATCCTTAGTAAAGTGCTTGGTAAATGCTGGGCAGGAATATCAACTGAAAAATGTGAGGCACATGCTTTCTGCCAAATCGAGTGGATTCAGTTTAACTTCCTGCCGTTCTCTGACCAAAGGCGATGAAGCAACTTATAAATTTGATAAAATTACATTTGACATGGTGGGCCCAGCCTTCTCTTCTTCCCTCTTGGAACTGAGCTGCCCTCAAGGAGGAGGCCTAACCTGGGGAAGCACGGCTGTGAATAGTGGGAAAATCCGCATATTTCTGGATTTCCTTTGCAGCCTACACTACACTACACTAAGCTTCATCACTCAGTTATCCTTTTTGAGTAGTAACAATGATATTTTTGCTTCTATCTAACAGCTCTTATTAATCTCTCAATTTGATCGGAATTGGGGTGAGGATTTTATTGGACTACAGGTTTGTTCCTGGTGATCTAAGGTCGACCAAGTCAGAAGAATTTGTAACCACCAAATCCTAACACTAGGAAGTAGGGAAAATGAACAAAACGGTGAAGGAAAACTTGAAGGAATATATGATGAGGATGTTAACTCCACTGTATATTTATAAATATAGAGCCTAAAGCTGTAAGTGGGCTACCTAAACATAACTGCAATGTACAGGATTTATAGCAATTTATAAGTACCAAGAAGACCAATTTTTCTTTAAAACTGAGAAAAATAACAGAAAATGAACCTCTTTTGAGGTTCATGAACAGAAAAGAGCCTCTTTACATAATCAGTTTAGTATGTCAAATTTTAATCTGTGGTACCTTGACTAGTTTTAAATTCAATCAAATTCTGAATGAAAGTACATAAATACAAACATTTTATTAGGACAACTAATAACATACCTCAGGACAGCTGTGTGACTCCCTGGTTCTGTGTTCAAGGCTTAATTAAAAAAAAAGTTTAAATGCAATCAAATAATGTAGTTAAAGATAACTGCAGTAATTAGAGATATTTTAATGGTTAGTATCCTTAAGATTACTCACACTACATTAACTCTGCATATAAGAATAAACTGAAATGCCAGATAAATTAAAGACAGAACATCTATAGTCTCAAAAGTTTCAAAACCCAACTGTTCAACTTCATTATGAATAAAAACAATTCACCACTCTAAACTACCTCTGACAGTCGGTTAAGCGTCTGCCTTGGGCTCAGGTCATGATCTCAGGGGTCCTGGGATCTAGTCCCACATGGGGCTCCCTGCTCAGCAGGGAGTCTGCTTCTCCCTCTCCTCCTGCCCCTCCCCTTGCTCATGCTTTCTCTCAAATAAAATCTTAAAAAAAAAAAA